GTAGCCTCATTTAACATGAGCAAAGCTAAATATAAAATACAAGAGCTTGATTAAGTTTAAGAGAGTTCAGTAGGATGCACACACACACACACACAGACATATATATATATAAAAAAATTCTCTCTCACTGCAGCATGTGAATGATGATAGAGGTGATAAGTATTTAAACCATGTATTTTTTGTTCTGTTCTTCTTTGTCAGCCATTGATTTAATAAACAATTTGCTTCAAGTGAAGATGAGAAAACGTTTCAGTGTTGACAAATCCCTTAGTCACCCGTGGTTACAGGTAAACCCAGCTGCCTTTTTCACTGTGTTTATAATGGGTGATGAATGATTTTTTTTTTTTTTTTTTATTAAATCCTTCAGAGGCTTATTAAAACTGCTACTATCAAAGTCAGTTTACAAGCACTCATGGGGGCTTGAGTATTTCTGGTTTTAGCTTTACATTTTACGTGCTCCAGGATTCTACCCATCTGTTGATGGCTTCTTTCCTCAAGGAAAATTTTGTCTTGCTGTCTGTCCTGCCCCTGACTTGGCTCGACACCAGCACAGAGTTGTACTCTCCTGGCAGGCAGTGACGGGTGCATGGAGCCCCACTGAAATTAGGATAAAGACAAACGTTATTTGTTCGGTGCTGAAGCGGACACGCAGGCTGGTGTGCGCTGTAGCATGTAATTGCGTGAGAACAGAGTTGTTTGGAATGAAATTTATCCGCTGCTTTGATGCAGGTTCCTTTCACAATGGTTTCACAATACTGCAAACATATCCACGTGTGCAAATAACTTAAAAGACGTTAAGGGGAAAATCCAAATAATTTTGAGTACAAACAATATTGGAATGAGTATAATTTCGTGTATGTGTATATATACAGTAAATTTTATAACAAAGCTAACATAGCTGTCTTGTTACAAAAAATTTTCATGATTTACAGTGTTACAACTTTAGATACCAGCCTATTTAATTTTGAACCATTCTTTGTGGACACTGGGGTATTTTTGCAGCGTGTGTGCGTGTGTGATGCGTGTGCTTTTTGTTTTCCTTTCTAACAGATCTTGTTGATTATATCTTGTGGCCATTTATACTAAAAGCAGAGACAAACTGCAGAATTGATCTGGGAGAATATAGTTCTGCTGTTTCTTAAACTGCTTCCTTAAATCTGTTTTACTCCTTAGGATTATCAAACTTGGCTTGACCTCAGAGAATTTGAAACACGCATTGGAGAGCGTTACATTACCCACGAGAGTGATGACGCACGCTGGAAAGAACATGCTTATGAACACAACCTTGAGTACCCCCAGCATTTTATTATGGCTCCTAACCCGGATGACATGGAAGAAGACCCTTGATTTATTCATCATGCCAAATGGCAGCGAAGAAGGATACTCCAGACAGAAACTGAAGATAAGTTTTGGAGGAACTGTTGCTCTTTGTGAATGCTGTGTGCCTAGTTCAGCGTACAAAGCCCCAAAGGATCCTTCATTGACATGGGAATAGGCTGTCGTCTGACAAGCTTTTCTCCATCTCTGACTTAAACTATGAGTAGTTACTGGGCAGTGGGATAAGCCCCGTTGGGTAACATTTCACCGAGCTGTGTGGCTGCAAAGCCATTACTGAGGTGTAATGCGTACACGTTGAATGGTTTGTGTGATTTTCAAGGTAGGTTTTTGTTTGTGGTTTTGGTGTTTTGTTTTGTTTTTTTTTCATAGCCTACACAATAAGAATTTTGTAATGGTTTTCTAATCCCTATTTACTAGGCCATAGAGGACTGTTTTCTCTTACTTAGATACATCTCCCGTTTCCTAAACTGTGCACGGTGAAAAGAGACTGTAAAAAGAAATCAGTGTGGAATACCTTGGCTAATAGCAAAACGTGGTGGTTTAGGTCGAATACAGCTTCATAGATGAAGGAATAATTTGCTGCTGTTAAGACAGTTAAATATGTGTCTTTGCCCTAATTGAACTTCTTCCAGATACCCAAAAGAGAAAAGAAAACCCCGTAACTCCTTACATTCCTCTTGAAATGCTGGCTGACAATCTAACGAGATGACAATCAGAGCTCTTCTAGTCCTTTATTTTGTCTGTTAAAACGGAGCAATAAGCCACAACAGCGCATTGCTGTGCAAGGCTGGCACATGTCATTGATACACACCAAAGGCATTTTGCCTTCAAACTACACAAGTAATGCACAGAGAGCACACAAGACTTCATGTAGCAGCATATCCTTTCACTCTGGAAAAACAGCTTCTAGCAGAAGGATGTGGAAGAATAGGGGGAAAAAAAATACATGCAGCTTTCTTCTGTTTTGAGTAATTAGATTTTTAAATTTTTCTAATAATTTTCTAATGTGTTTTAAGGTTCCCTGGACTTACATCAGGAGTAGTTTGTAGCCTGCTAGCTTGTATCTTAGCTCTACTCAAAACCTCGGAGTAACTGTGGATATCAAATCCCCCGTTGCTCCTGCCAGGGCAGCTGGATTGTAGGAAAAAGGGCTTTGCCTTCTGACCTTAACCTGCAGCCCCTCCCGTCCTCTTTACTGTGCTCAGTGGTGGTGTTTGAGCTGAATGAAGAATCCAAAACCAATTCCTGATTCAGTTTTTTACGCAGATGCCTCAGTTGGTGGATTCCCAGCTACTTATTGGACGTGTGGCACAATAGAGAGGAAACAGCAGTGTTCTTTGGGAAATGCTCCCTCAGAGGACAGTGCAACAGTTAAAACTCATGGCATTGCAGAGACGTTTGAGGCCATGAACGCTAAATGTAAATGGAAGAGGGGGGGTTTTTTGTCCTATTTTAAAAAATGGAAAAGGTGTAATATTTCCTTTCCAGTGGGATAACAGCACTGCGCTGCTGGAAGGTGCTGAGTGGCTGTACATATCCCTCATGTGCCAGGCTGCTTAGCTGGAGCTTGGTTTGAAGTACTTCTAAAATACTGATACAGGCTTGAACTGCAAAGTCAATGAGAGGCTTTGGAGTATCTCCTCTCTCTCCTACAAATATTTTTTTTTTTTGTGTGCGTGTGTGTGTAGATAAGTTTTTTGGTTTTTTTTTTTCTACTGTTGTTATTCAGGTAAGGAAGCAGGTGAGCAGACCTTTCCTAAGTTGTTAGAGATACATAAAATTTTACAAGGTTATTTCAGGGCTGGCAGCTGCTTGCAGTGAGAGCGACCTGGCAGCAGAGTCAGCGGCAGTCACAGAAGTGTGTACCCGCAGGTAGGTTTGGGTCTTTAACCCACCTTTTCTTTTCCTCTCGCCCTTCATCTGCCTGCCACTGCGTTTGGTAGGTGTCTGAGTCGGCAGGGGCTGAGCTCTGGCTTCCCTCTGGGGCTCTACCAAACTCTGTGCCAAGGGCGGGCGGCGGCGGGGCCAGCGGCTCGCCCTTCCCACCGCCCTGCGCCCTCTCTCCCAGCAGGTATTTTTCTCAGGTCTGTGCCCCTCCTACACTGGGGGGGTCATCCTCCCCCCCTTCTACGCCCTCAAGGCAGCGCAGAGGGGCCAGAACTTGTCCCTTAACCTTGCCGTCCTGTTAAGGCAGGGCTTTGGGCCTGATTCTTTAGAGAGGGGCACTGTTCGTCAGCTTTGGAACCAGCACAATCACCTGTGGAGTTGGTGGTCTGGTATTTGGCAAGGGAAGCAGTGCTTTTTTCAACTTCCACTGCTCAAGTGTGACCAAACGTCAGTGAAGCCACTGCTCTCTTTATCCTAACTGTAATAACATGGATGTAGTCTGGTTTTAAACTTCAGATTTTATGCTTGAGCTGTCACTTCATTTTAAGGGAGGAAATAAAGCCAGCTCAGACACTTGAAAAAGCACAATAGGAATGGAGGAAGGAGGGGGACAACAATGAAGTAGTGGGAGGCCTGGCTGATGTCTCCCCCCATGAAGTCTGCTCTGCTCCAAAATATTAGGTGAGCTATTTATTCTTCAAGTTGTATTAAAAAATAAAAAAAAATGTTGGCTTTTGGAGGAGATTGCCTGACCATATATGCAGACTTACGGGGCCAGACAACAGAAGCCACAAGCAGCTAATAGTTGAGGAACCAAAAAAAATCAGACATACCTGAGGAGTAAAATTCCTTCAGAGTAGTAAAAATAGCTGAGTTTTTTATTCCTTTTTCCTACATTTACTGCAGATTTTGACAGCAGTAGGCTACAGTGTTTAATATCCTTACCCCTAGATGAATTAAGTTGCGTTCATTCAAGAAATAGTGCTATGATGATGCTAGAAAAAAAGCTCATGTAAAATTTATAGCCTCAAAAGGACACTGTCAAGTACTTTTATATTTTTATACATCCTATTGTTTGTAAATATCCTCTGATAAGCTTGAAAATAAAATTTATTTCCCTATCAGACTTGTTCTTTTTATTTACAGACATTCTCCTTTCGAATGTTATTAGAAGTAAATTGCTCTTTATAGTTCCTTGTTTGTGGATTTGTCATTAGATATGCCCTGCTCTGGGAATTCTGTTAGCAGGTGCTTTGGAACTAAAAGCTCTTTTTGCGTGGCTCCTGTCACCATTCTCTTTACAAAAGTATCTTTGAAAAGGTCAAGGCAGCCTGTGTTTTAAGCAGGGACCAAAGCTGAGTACATTTAAAGCCTCCTTAGCACAGCTGTGTTTTACTGACAAGTTTTAACATGATTTTCCTAGCAAACACTTTCGTAAGACCCCTGAAACATCCTTCATTCTCTGTTCTGGGCACACTCGTTTCTGTAGGTGCAGCATTTGCTTTCTACTCATACTGCTTTGAGTAGGTCGGTCAAGAGGTTTAGTGTGCTGCACTGGCTTTACTCTGAAATAGCACTCCCTACCCCAGTGGGGCCAGGTCCTGCGGCGTAGAATGCTGTGAGAAAAGTGCCCGGAGAAATAAGGTTCATGTGCCTTCTCAGGTCAAAGATAAATCAAAATGTTTAGTTCTTCCTCTACTGCATACGTAGCTCTATTACATTAGCCGATTACTGCAAAACATTTACTATGTGAAACCATAAAATACAGGACTCTATTCCTTTTGCTTTCATTTATTTATGTATTTAACAAGTTGCTATTGAAAGCTTCTACTATCAGATATTTTGCTGCAGTATTTGAAATTACTTCAGTCGGAGTTCACCAAATCCAGCGACAGGTGGAAGGGGAGGCTCGGAGTCTGGCCGATGGTTCTTGTCAGGGTGTACAAGTCTGTGGTGAGGCAGCAGGGCAAAAAAGTTAAAACAGTCCCCCATCTTCTTGGGATTCATCAGCATCTCATAGCTGTGAAGTAACTGCTCACGAGTTGCTGGGTCACGTGAATGCTGCAAGAGCACCTAAAAGAAAAGAATGTAGGTTACAGCCCTTCGTGCATTCCTGTAAATTCCCTCATACCTGCAAGCTCTTGCTGCATCCTTCCTGCTTACACCAATGTCACTGCGCCACAGCGGCGAGTGGAACAGCTGAAATCCCCGGTAGAGCTCACACACTGATGTATGCAGCAAAGCTTTGCGTTACATACTCCTAAACATAATCGCTTTGAGGGATCGAGAGTAACTTATGTCTAGGAGAAGCAACTCTTTGAACTCACGCCTACATGTTGTTTTGAAAAACTTTTATGAAAATCTGATTTTTAAAAGAAAGCTCTCTCGCTGCTTCAGAGTATCACTTGTGGATTAGGAGAGTTTAAGTGCCCGTCAGCACTACCCTACCTGCAATCGGAGGTCAATGCCCATGTTTTTTAAAAACTCCCGCTGTTTTATGGGGCCTAATGTGGCTGTTCTTCCCTGTGCCATCTTCCGAAGATAGCTGAAATCAACATCTGCTGTCAGGTCTGCTGTACCTGGAGCTCTCAGCACATCGTGAAGTTTGTGATTCTGAAAACCCTGAAAAATGAAATTGGAGGATTATACGTAGGTGTACCCTGAGCAGCCCCAGCTGGGGCTAGCAAAGGCTGGCAAAGTTGTGTGTGTGAGAATAGCAAATTATACCTTGAAACTTTGAAATAAAGGCAGCAAGGGCTCAGATTCTCCTTTCTGACAGAAACCCTTATGGATACCGATTAAATAGGAACTCAATTACTTGGGTTTATGATTGCAGCATAATGCATTTTTTGCTATTACATCCACCCAAGACCTTTCTCTTCCAAGAACCCAGGTGACAAATATAAGAGTATTTTGGCTTATTATTTCAGGATAAATGACTTGCCCGGAAAGTGTCAGTTTTGGTTCCATCATGCCCATAATCAGCAACCAGTGCGGCCCCACCATCCTCTTCTACGCGACAGGCAAGCCTCTGGATGATGACACCAGCCTCAGGACACACTTCCACATGATCTCTCGTTTCTTCAGGCTAGTATGGAATTCAAAGATCAAAACACCTGCATTAGCAAACAAGTACAGGGCGAGAGCTCTTCACAGTGCATGTCTGGGAATTGCTGTCACTTCAGTGGGGCAGAGGCCCAGGGATGTATTCCGAGGTGCCTCGAGCTAGTTTTTGCCAACATTCCTTTTCAATTCATGGGTTCTGAGTGCTGGATTTCAGTCATCTCTTCTATAAGCTACAGTGAACTGAAAAGCTAATTTTTCTAACAAAATGCCTGCTGCAGGGGAAGCTGCATTACTGTAAGAACGAAAACAGTTCTTCAGCTGTGCACACCCTTCAAAAAGGCCGTTCTGCGTGAGACTCTGTAGTTGGTTTTCATCCCAACTACTTCATTTGGTAACTTTAAGAATCTAGCACACTTCAGCAAAAAAACCATCATAGACACTTTCCATTACAGGTGAGCGTAGCAGCGCAGCCGCACCGAGCCGGGCTGTCGCGACGGGGAGGTGACACACACACCACGCAGAACTTCTTGGCACTTGCTGCCTCGGTTTGTTCTCTGAAGTGTTTCGTCTGTTTAGGCTCTCATTTGGTTTATCTTTGTGCTGTATTTTCACAGCATACGCGTTTAAACGCTTGTGGAAGTTTTGCAGAATGGAAGTGGTAAGGTGCATTTGCTCATTTCTAGACTGAGAGGAGCCCTCTTCTTGCTGTCAGAGTAACTGAAAAGCAGTAAATGGACTTGAAAGAGGGAGTAAAGATGTAAGTGGCAGCTCTGGTAGGCATAACCTTACCTGAATAAAGTTTTCTGTTGCAGGGGTACTGGAGGGTGACAGGACAAACCGCAGCTGGTCAGGGACTTCTGGATCTATATCAACCAATACTTCACGCCAGCCTTTCTCTGTTCTCTGTTTAATGAACCCAGAGTTACTCATTTTACGCTCTAGTGGGTGGACACAGCATCTTGGGTTTTGAATTGAACTGATGTGTCGTTTGGAGAACATTATATGCTGTTAACAACAATTATTCACTCCTCTTTAAGTCTAGTAACTGCCTTGGAAAACGTCTGTGGCAGAGACCGGTCTGTACAGTCAACAATTAGAGGTTTAATTACACTTGAAAGGAATGAATCTTGATAAAAATGCTGCCTCTTCTACTGGCAGTGCAATGTTTAACTTGTCAAGATAAAATGATTTATTATACCACTGATTTTCATAAACTAATTACCAAATTGAAGTTGAAAGTGTCTTCTGAATCCTAACTAGCCTTTATTTTGCTGTTCTCATTACTATTCAAATAAAAGCCCCTCAAGGCATCGTCTTTGTTAGTAGTAGTACATAAAATAATGTTGAAATTAAAAACTTATAGCATAAGAAGAAAAAAAACTTTAAGCAAAAAGAGATCTTTAGCTTTCTGCAAGTTTTTCCATTCAAGAATAATTATTAATTTTACAGCTACCACTTGAATTAAGCCTTATTTGCCCAACTTCCATTAGAAATATTTTATCACCGTAAACAATGCATGCGTCTACTTTGGCACCATAATTCTATTCTTCAAAGAGGAAAGGCATTTAAGTAGATGGTCACAATTACAATAATCTTCTTACTATACCTGAAACTTATGTATTGGCAGGGCGTCAAAAAACTCATGTGCTAAGTAAAAGCTGTAACCTGGGGGAAGGTGAAGAAGAATGCATTAGATTATTAATGCTTCCCGAGCAGCTTCCAGGTGAAAATTAAAATGTTTTTATGAATTAAACTAGTTAATGTGGCTGTGAAATAATTACCATTACTTCCAGCTTAGATACATCAAAGGCAGCATTTCTACAGCTAGCTCTAGCTTCCAGTCCATGAATTTTTAGATCGGTATGTCACGAAAGGAGATTCAGGCAAAGCAAGTAAACGGTTTCCCATTGAAAAGAAAAAGTCAAAATACATGAAATGGGGTAGCTATCCCCAAATGAAGGTAGTCAGAATAGGTAGCAGTTATGAGAACAAGTCAAGATCCTGCCTCAGACTCATACAAGAAGTAAGAACAAATATGTGCATTAACTACTTTTCTATTTTAATAGCAGGGATGTCCTCTGCTATTAAAAACTGCAAATAGAGGAAGGACACCATCCCTGTAACATGACGCTCGAGCTCCTTACCTTGTGGCACATCTTGAATGTCTCTGTACCAGAAAATGGGAATTCCAGTCTTGCTAACACCTTTCATGTAAGCAGACTTATCCTTGGGGCTTGACTGCAGCTTCCCTCCTGTCAGCATCAGCGCTTGGATCTCGCTGAGCTTGGGACTCACTTCTACCAGATGAATAGAGACATCACATTTACTAAGTAAAGAGGCAAGCTGGTTGAAGACCTATAAAGGCAGATGAATTCTATTAGGCACAGTCACGTGCTGTACAGGTTAAAGGCTTAAGAACTAACCTTTAATCTCATTATTTATATTCAAGATAAAAGATCTAGTTGGCTTTCATTTAACAAAACAGTCTCGGTGAAAGAGACTGCATTTTGCTCCTCTAGAAGGAAAAGAAAGGGAATTTCTTCATCCATTTTAATAAATCCTGCTATGCTTCTAATAAAGCTGGCAAATTGCAGCACAAATTAGATAGTTGTAAGAACAACATAAAATGCTAATTTGGAATAGTAATAGCCTTAGAGTAACTTCTCTGATGCCTGCAGCGGGTTTGGTACTAGGAGAAAAACGGTTCAGTTTTCCCAGACACCCTAAACAAAAAATGCCCAACAGCCTACATTCCACTGTGATTATTGGAATTCTTTTTCATTAATGTATATAAATAGAATAAAAGTTCTTCTGATTGTACAGAAAGGGTTAACTCAGAAGAAATAAGCCCCTGAAATCCCCCAAGGAACCAACAAAACTTCACTCCTGTTTTGCTGTCCTCCCCTCTTCCTCCCACTGCTTGCGCTGAGGCCTCCCTCCCCAGCAGCACTATCCTAAATGGATTTCAGTCTGGATAATGCTTTCCTATACAGAAAGGATTTGTAACGGAATATTCCTGCCCTCCCCTTCTGTCGAGGGTTTGAAAGATTCCACAGGTGTCTGCGCAGTATGCACACACTGGCCCGTGTTCTGCCTTCAACTAAAATACCTGGTCTCAGAAATGTGTGTATATGTTAATTAGCCTAAGGTGCACATCTCCTGACTGAAATGATTTGGTTACTAGGGAAGGTTAAACCCTCACAGCAAAACATCATTCCTTCAGGTTTCAGAGCAGTCATGGAATAAAGGCAGAAGTAAAGAAGATGAATATCAGTCTTCACCTACCCGTAATATATCATGAGCAAGCGTGCCTCTCCCTGGGCCCAGTTCCACCAGCTGGAATGCTTTAGGTTTGCCCGTGGCTATCCATTCGCTTATGTACCATATTCCTATTAACTGACAGGGAGAAACAACACAAAGAAGGAGTTACAGCAGAACTCGAGAACTTGTGGAAAGTGGTATCTGCCTTTTGTCTGATAATAACTAAGATACTGTGCAGTATTTTCTCTCCGTGTTTTAAAGTTATGGAAAAATCATTACGATACTTAGCTTCGTTCTCTTTTAATTATTGAAATTGCAATTGTTTGCTGTCAGCCCAGCAGAAGCGACTCTCCCATCAGTGAATGTGTGGGACTCTCTTCTGGCTGGAGCAGGAACTTTTACTTAAAGCTTAAAGGCAGGTCACTGCCCAGCTGCCTCTGAACTCTTCTTCATGACCACGTGTGCATCAAAGTGTGACCAAGTGCAGCAGTTTGGCCAGTTTTGGGTACCGGAAACGATACGCAAACCAGAGTGAACCAGACGAAAAATATGACAAGTATTTTTGAGTAGAGTTTTCACCCCGTGAAACTACCCTAGCTCTTTTTATTTTGAAACAGGTTGTACAGAAAAGTATGCGTTACTAAGCACAGATTGTAACATGAGAAAGGTCTCCCTGATGTCTCAGAAAAACGAGGCACCCCTTCCTCCTCCAAAACCACCTGAGCCGCAACTTAAGGAAGAGAAGGAGTTCATTACAACGTAAGGAACTATGCATTACCTCTCCAAACACCTGACTTATTTCAGGCGAAGTGATGAAATCCCCGCTTTCGCCGATGCCGCCGCGGCGCGTGTAGTACCCCTGCGGGGGATGGAGAGGAGCGGGGCCCCGGTGAGCGGCGCGGCGGGGCCGCTGTCGGGCCGGCCGCGTCCCTCCGGGCTCCGGGAGCTCAGGCCCAGCGCCCCGGGCCCGCCGGCCCCGCCCGCACCTGGCCGGGGTTGGTGAGCGCCTCCCGCATGTACTCGGCCACCGTCACCGGCCCGGTGGCCCGCACCTTGAGCAGCAGGTGCCGCAGCATGGCGCTGCGCCCTTCGGCCTCCGCCCGGTCCCCCGCGCCCGCGCAGGGCCGCGCCGGAGCTGCGGGGAGAGGAGACGGGGAAGCGGGGGGGGCTCAGCGGGGCGGCCTGCGCTCCCGCCGCCCGGGGTGTGGGGGGGTTGTTACCATGGTGACGGGGAAGGTGAGGGCGGCCGGCGAGGCCCAGAGCAGCGGCGAGGAGCGCGCGGCGCGCGGCCATGGCAGCGGCGCCGGCGCCCGTTCCTCCTCTTCTTCCTCCTCCTTTTCCTTTTCCTTTTCCTCTTCCTCCCCGGGTCCTGGCCGCTTGCGTGAGGACGGGTTCACCGGCCAGACGCCGCTGAGGGGAGCGGCGGCAGATGATGAGATTTGCCTGAGACGCGCCCGCCCGCCCTTGCAGGACCTCGCGGCCCCGGCGGGGCCGGAAGCGCGCGCCACGCGCATCAGGAGCAGCTTCCGGCGATGGCGGCCATGGCGGCGCTGTGGGAGTTGGGCGTGAGGGGCCCGAAGAGGGCGGGTGGCCACAGCGTCGAGGAGGAGGAGGAGGACGACGACGATGAAGAAGGAGATGCAGAAGGGTTCACGCTGGACGAGGTGCTGCGCCTCGGCGGCACCAAGGTGAGGGCGGGGAGGAAGGGAGGGAGCGGGAGCACGTGGAGGCCGCGGCCGCCGGGCCCTTGCGGGGCGCGCGGGATGGCGGCGGCGGGGGGGCTGGGGGGTGTCCGTTGGGAGCGCGCGGCCTCGAGGCGGGCCCGGCTTGTAACGGCCGTGCCGCGCGGTGCCGCCCGCAGCGGGATTACCTGATGCTGTGCGCCGTGGACGAGGCGGAGGAGATGGTTGACGGCGGCAAGAAGGACGCGATCGACGACCTGAAGGAAGGGGAGCTGGAGGCGTTCGTCAGCTCCCTGGGGCTCGGCCGGTATGCGAGGAGTTGCCTGGTGGTGGAGGGGGAGGAGGAGGAGGACGACGGCGGGAGCGAGGAGAAAGAGAAGCCCCGAAAGAAACAGAAAAACAAGAAGGAAACTAACTCTCCTTCGTTAGAAGGGAAAAGGGAAAAAAAAGCCAAGGAAAAGGCAAGTGGCGTGAAAAACAGCAAGAAGAAGCAAGCTGGCAGTGATCGGGACCAGCGCCTTTCAGCTCAGAAAGAGAGGCCAGAGGAAGATTTTGAATTTCATGCCAGGCAAGTGATACTGGTCAAACCAGGGGGCAGATGGTATGATCTAGAATACACCAACGAATTCTCTTCAGAGCCACAAAATCAGACGCTTCTGTCCAAGTATAAGGCCTTGGCCCAAAAGCTGTACCAACATGAGACAGACCTGTATAAGAATAAGACGGATTATCAGAAGGGAGCTTCTTCAGCGTGGATGAAAACTGTTGTGTCGTCGGGTACCTTGGCTGACAGGATGGCAGCGATGACCCTTCTCATTCAGGACAGTGCTGTCCACAGCCTCCAGTTTGTTGAGAACTTGGTAAACCTCATAAAGAAAAAGGGCAGCAGGCATCAGAGCCTCATGGCTTTGGATACTTTCAAGGAGCTTCTCGTTTCAGATCTCTTACCAGACAATCGAAAATTATGGTCTTTCTCGCAGCGACCATTGAACGACATAGAGAAGATGTCAAGCGGCAACAGGGATTCGAGAGACAGACGGTTGGTACTGTGGTACTTTGAGCATCACCTGAAACTGCAGGTGGCAGAGTTTGTGCAGGTGTTAGAAACACTGAGTCACGATTCTCTAACAGCAGCGAAATCCCGAGCGCTGGCAGTTGCCCACGAGCTTCTCTGTCACAAGCCTGAGCAGGAGAAGGTTCTGCTTGTTCAGCTGGTAAATAAACTGGGAGACCCTCAGAACAAAATCGCCACCAAAGCCTCATATCTTTTAGAGACGTTACTTCACAAGCATCCAAATATGAAGGGAGTAGTGTGCAGTGAGGTGGAGAGGCTTTTGTACCGGTCAAACATTAATGTGAAAACTCAATATTACGCCATTTGCTTTTTAAATCAGATAGTCCTCAGTCATGAGGAAAGTGCGTTGGCTAACAAGCTGGTAACTTTGTACTTATGCTTTTTTCGGAACTGCATTAAGAAAAAAGACATTGAATCCAAAATGCTCAGCGCTCTTCTTTGCGGGGTAAACAGAGCTTACCCTTACGCTGAGACTGGTGATGAGAAAGTGAAGGAACAAATGGACACGTTGTTTAAAGTTCTGCATCTTGTGAACTTCAGTACCAGCATCCAGGCCCTGATGTTGCTGTTTCAAGTGATGGACTCTCAGCAGACTGTATCGGATAGGTACTATGCAGCACTGTACAAGTAAGTGACAGGCTTGCATTTTTTTATATAAATTTCATTTTATGACGTAGTCACCGTTAATTTAAGATTGTAGAAACACTTATTTTAAGATCTTGTGAGTTTTGTGTCTCATTGGCTAAAAATTTCTGATGTTTTGCATGAGCTAGAAGAAAATGCATGTGTTTTCTTTGGATTAATGTGGGGAATAAAATAAACGGTAATGATAGGTCCTGAGAACACAACATATGCATTTCATCCTTTGCAGTGTTTTCTGGTGGCATGTTTTAATTCCAGATATTATTTGAAACTACTAGATAACTACTACTTCTGAAATCGCTTCTACAGGTCCTGTGGTTTAGTCATGTAATAGCCTAAAACCTTGCTGCTTTTTTTTCAGATGGGGGGTGGGGAAACATTATGTTAACAGATTCTTTAAGTGATTTATTTTGCATGGTTGGAAAGCCTTATGCTATGAAAGTATCCCTTTTTCTTGTCCCAGCTGATTGTTTAGACTCTTTGTGGGATCTTTACAGGCTTCTGTTTAGTTGACCAAAGGGAAGTTGCTGATTTTTTAAAAAGGAATTCAAGTTTCCCCAGAATGTGCAGTGTATTTAGGGGTCTTCCTGTGCCTGGCAGTCTGAAAAAAAAAAAGCAGAGTAGAAAATGAACTTGCCAAAACATATGTCTGGTCTGATTGTGAAGCATGCTAATTGCTAACCATGTTCTTTCTGTTTTTTTGAACATCTGAATAGATCGGATTGGTTTCTCACTTTGAATATCTCAAATGTTGAAACTGTTTTCAGTTGAACTCAGTTTCTTGATATTTCCTTACAGTTTTTTTTTGTTTACTTGTGCATGTTTGTCTTTTTGTTTTTAATCTCATGTCTCATATAGATACAGAAATATTACACAGCTGTTGACTGCTCGGGGTTGATCATAATCCTTTTGAGTATTGGGAAACAAGCTGTCACCGGTCTTTTAGATGGCAATCTGAAAAATGTAGATGTTTGTTTTTAATAGCAGTTATTCTCCTATGTGTATTATGACATTCAGCAATATTTTTCCCCTCTGTGTTCTACAGGAAGCTTCTAGATCCTGCTTTGGCAACCTGCTCAAAGCCATCCATGTTTCTTAATCTTGTCTATAAATCTCTGAAGGCAGATGTAGTGTTACGGCGTGTGAAGGCCTTTGTGAAGAGGTTACTTCAAGTTACTTGTGGACAAATGCCACCCTTCATTTGTGGAACCCTGTACCTTCTGTCTGAGCTTCTGAAAGTAAAACCAGAGTTAAGGGTCCAGTTGCAGGATCATATGGTATAAGATGATTTCCTTATCTCATTGTTTTTTCAATGAGAGCTAATTTCATAAGCACCTTTCCCAAACCTGTTTATTACTAACCCGAGGGTCTGGTAATATGTAACATTGTGGGAGAAAGCACTCAAACAATTACAACTGCGTTAAAAACCTGCATAGACGGAGGTGTTTTAAGCATTCTGGTGGGTCTTGTGGACTTTATTCATGGAGAAAGGATTAAAATGCTGTATAAGTAAGCAGGTGAACATTCTTCTCCCAAAAGCTTTGTCAAAACATGGCCTGTTTATTTCTTCTATCTGCTATCTCTGAAGAATAGCTAGGCAGGACTGGATTTTTTTTCTTTTTTTCTTCAGGCAGGGAGAGACCATTACACTTGTGTGGTGTAAACTGTAAAGTTCAATTTTAAGTCCTGTATCAAGGCCAAAAGTCTGTAATGCTTAAACACTGGCCATCATTTTTTTATACTTTTGTAAGTAGCTTTTTAAGAACTACATATGCATTTTTCTAATAAATCAGAATAAAATTGCAAAAGCTGTTGGCTAACATGTTTTATTGTTTAGGAGTCTGATGATGAAGAGTGCTTTAAGGATCAAGGAGAGGGTGAAGAAGATGAAGAAAAATTTGTGGATGCTGACAAAGAAGTAGAAGGTGAAGAGAGGCGCACAACAGAAAATTCTGCTAAAACAAACAATTCAAGTTCAACAGCCTCCTGGGTGCATCATCTGAATAGGGGAGGTAAATTAGCAAGAATACATAATTCCTTTAATTTCTAACATTCTGTAACAATGACGTGTTGATCAAGACTTGATGTAAAATTAAGTGATTAAAACATTTCAGTTTTTCAAATTGAATTTTGATTCAAAGCAATTGGTCAGAATAATTTTTCTTTAGCTGTTTACTCAGCAGTGATGAAGAGACTGTATGAATCTGCTGGTGTATTTCACTCTAGGCACAAATGCGATAAACTGCGTAAGCAAACACGCTCAGGATTTTTTGCTTCAATGTTCAAACACCCTCAGAGCAACGTAGCCAAGGCTAGGACATGTAACTCCTCATTTGCTTGTGAAGCTTGCCAGAACAGTTTGTCAAGTTTTGAACCTGCTTCTAGTTTCACTCTTTCCTGAGGTGGTTTTGCAGCAGAGCAGGGGTTTTCAGGAGCTTCTTTGGAAGCACGTAGGAACTCATCGGTGCACCTGATCATACATTGGGAAAGGGCAGCTGAAAATAACCCGTATGTGCTACTGTAGGAATCTGTGCCTGTCCAGCTAAGGATGATGAGCAGCATTACTCTCATGGTGAAATGAAAATAATATTCTTGTAAAGCTGCCTGAGGAAATTTTTGAGTTGTTTTCATCTCCTCCACCCCTCAGGCAGGAGGAGTGGAGCTTTGTATGATCCTATGCACCGAAGTCCTTTATACTGTGGTGCTGAAGGTACAAGCCTTTGGGAACTGAAGAAGGTAAGGCATTCTCATGTTTCTGATTACTGTGCTTCTTAGCATTGCTCTTCTATTGAGAGAAGAAAATTAACTTGGTTGTTCTTGGAGTAGTTACCTGGGTAACGTAACAGAAAGGTTAAAGCTGACACAGTGTTCAGCTTTAAGCTGGTATATGTTACAAACAATGCTGATATTCCAGAGTAGGGAGTAGGGATTTTTAAGTGGAGATTTGGACAATATTAATATTTTTGGACTTTTGCACCTTAGCTTTGTATCACTAAAGCTTTTTAGTGTTGAATTAAATAAAAT